AAAAATCGATACAGGGCTTTAGAATATCGATACAGTATCGGGGAAATGAAATATCGCGATATTTCAGTGTATCGATATTTTCTTACACCCCTATTCGATAAGCGCTTGTTTTCCCTCACTGGGCAAAACTGCATTTAAACTCGTTGACATTAACAAGAAACTTAGATCACAGTTTGAAACGCACACCGAAGAAAACCTGCGTCACGACTCTTGCTGCTGTCAGACAAACAAGATCAGAGGAGCCGTCTGGTTTACATGCAACGTGGTGGGCAGCGGTGCTTTTATGAAAGAGACAGCGAGAAAATGCTGAAGGCTTTTTTCTAATTCAGTATGGAAAGGAATCTTTCTATGCACCCTGTAAGTAACTCGACCACCATTTAAAAAACGTGGGCATGCTATTTTTAGTGGCACATCGAAAGTGAAAGTAAAAAAGAACAGTGCTCGTCGATATCACCTCTTCCTCAAAATAGAAACTTAAAACACCTTTGTTCTCTTTTCTCACCCTCATAGCCTGAAACAGAGTTAAGATACAGCTAAATTAGACAGTTAAAATAAGTTAAAAGTTGAAAACTTACCTTTGTTGTTATCTGTGTTCTGTCTCACAAATCACCACCCGCTCTCCACCGGGGAGGGAGTTGTAATGCATGCGCTCACGTGAGCACAGAGCATGGCTGCTGGATCGGCCAGAGCAGGCGTGTATCGGCCGATACCGATACAAAGGAAAAACGTGAATATCGGCCAAAAATATCAGCCGGCCGATGTATCGGTCGACCCTAATTTCTAATAAAATAAGCTTAAATAATTACTGCAGAACATGACAATTTTTTATATCCAATTACTTGATTAATCGTCAGAATAATCGATAGCTTAATCGATTACTAAAATAATCGTTAGCTGCAGCCCTAATAACAAATAATCAAGTTTCAGCTCAAGCTATCAATCTGTTGCTGTGTTTTTATTTTTATCTGACAAACTTACAGTAAGTCTTGTTTTTAATCACACAACTTACACACTGTTTAATAAAACCCTGCCAGGTCACCATGATTAGTCAGCACAAATAACATTAGCCAAAACATACCTCCTCCTTGTACATGTGTAACATGACAGATTATCACAGATTTAGGTAACCAAAGGTAACGTAAACAAATAACTGTTGTTAACTCAGGACGCGTTCGGTACATGCAGCAGCTGTTTTTGTTCCGGTGCAGAAACATMGAGGATGTGCAGAGCATTGCACGTTGTCGTCTTTTCTGTTTAGTTTTAAATGTTCACATACTTTTTTAAATTTGTCGTCTTTCGGGTGCTTCGTTTCGGCACTCTTCGTCTACTTCTAAAGCTAAATATAGTGCTCAGCAAGCATACACGTGTGACGCATCGACAGTGTAACTGTTAGCAGAAGCACTAACATCGTAGCATTGTGAGTAACACATATAACATTCCGGGCGGACGAAAGAGCGCTGATTATAACAGTATGTATTTTTTACAAAGCTTCGAGGCAGATAAATTGGCCTCGAGGATTTCTTGTAATCGAATTACTCGAATTATTTGAGGAATCGTTTCAGCCCTAGAGCCAATCGTCAGATATTGTCCAAGATTAACCTTCAGGGTGGATATAGCTCGCTAGCACCCTCGCACCGATGACCTATCCACATCATCGTTTACCCAGAATGCTTTGCGTGTAAATAAAATGGCCCCATCCGTGTAATATATTTTAAAACTTTTAGTTAAAAAAATTATAAAAACTAAACAGCCTACAGTATTATTTAGGGATGTCCCGCTACAACTTTTTCACTTCCAATACGATACCGATATTGCAACTTTGAGAATTGTCCGATACCGATATTGACCGATACCGATATTGACCCGATACCATATCAGTATGAATCACACACTTTTACCTATTTTGTAGTGCAAAATCTTAGAAAAGTCTTGATCAAGTCAAACAGTGAAAAAGAGTAGGTATGAGAAAAACTGACCCATTTATTTTTAACCAATATTGACACATAGGCCTACATTTTAAACTGAAGAACATTCTACAATTTAATAAATAAAATAAATTACAATACCCTGAAAAAATAACATAATAAAAACAACATACTTTTAAAGTGTAAAATAATTCAAAATCACTCCAGTTATTATTATTATTTTTTTACCATCTGTCAGCCTTGTGCTACTTTATGGTGGGAATTATTGAAGGTGGGGACAAAACAAAACCCCACAATATTGTCTGTTCAAAGTTAAGAGTCCACAGCAACAATTTTACTGACTGTGCTCAAAACAACGTGATCATTGATAGATAGATAGATCTTTATTTGCCATTTGTGCATATACTAGCAGTTTACACACATTGAAATTCTTGTGCGGGTATCTCTCCTAGTCACAGTATAGATGACAGAACAGTAATGATCGAAAAAACATTATAAGGTCTAAGAAAACAGTATAAGAACAATAAAAAAGTAAAAAAGTAATAAAAATATAAAAATATATTTATGCATAAGCACACTAAAAAAAGAATAAAAAATTTAAAAGATAAATTTCAGCACAATAGATGGTGTGGCACAATAGCAGCACAATAGTACAATCAGTGTGTCAAATGTAGGACCTGTATGCAACTTA